CTATAAAAGACCTGTGTGGCATTCAGCTCTCCTTTCCATGGGACTTGCTCCCATTCCACCCACCTTGCTCATCACTTCCTATCAACTGTTCAGCCTCATTATTCATAAATTTCCTAAGACCTTCACTAGCCACACAGACTCTTCACTCTGGTCCCCAAAACCTTCCATCTTCTCTCTCCACCATGAGGCCTCTTTTCTACCAAGCGACCTCTTCACTGTCTGACAGATACACCAGCTGAAGTTCTTATGCTAATAAACTTGAGTTTGAGCTGTTTGCCTTCACCCAATCCTAAACCCCAAATCCTCTCTAGGCCTGCTATTCCTCCTCTTCACCCTTCTCCTTCTCAGATCTCGCATAGAACCTGTTCTGTCATCGAGGTATGTTCTCCATGTGTGCCCTCCCCTCCTCTTCCTGGAGATTAGGGCTTGTTGGATATATTTGCTTAACCATTTCCCTGCTGCTCAACTCCTAGCACATGCCTAGTGGTGTGCTCATGCCCAGTGTTCCATAAGCAAGGATCAGCTGCCTCCTGCATGCCCCACCCCTGGGGATTGAACCCACAACCTAGGCATGTGCCCTGACCAGGAATTGAACTGTGACCTCCTGGTTCATAGCTCAATGCTCAACCACTGAGGCACACTGGCCTGGCCAATAAATATTTTTTGAAGCTATATGTTACAATGGCAAGAACACTGGATGTAGAGTCAGGTAGAACCTGGGTTTGAATCTTATTCAGCCCCTTACCAGAAAATGAAACTCCTTTAAGTAATAGTTTTTCCGTTTGTATAATAAGAAATATCTCATAGGTTGATGTGAGGATTAAAGGTGAATAACGTATGTAAATCAGAGAGTAAAATACACAGTCAGCACCTTAGTAACAAGGGTTCCTATTGGATGAAAGGAACTATAAAAGACCTGTGTGGCATTCAGCTCTCCTTTCCATGGGACTTGCTCCCATTCCACCCACCTTGCTCATCACTTCCTATCAACTGTTCAGCCTCATTATTCATAAATTTCCTAAGACCTTCACTAGCCACACAGACTCTTCACTCTGGTCCCCAAAACCTTCCATCTTCTCTCTCCACCATGAGGCCTCTTTTCTACCAAGCGACCTCTTCACTGTCTGACAGATACACCAGCTGAAGTTCTTATGCTAATAAACTTGAGTTTGAGCTGTTTGCCTTCACCCAATCCTAAACCCCAAATCCTCTCTAGGCCTGCTATTCCTCCTCTTCACCCTTCTCCTTCTCAGATCTCGCATAGAACCTGTTCTGCCATCTAGGTATGTTCTCCATGTGTGCCCTCCCCTCCTCTTCCTGGAGATTAGGGCTTGTTGGATATATTTGCTTAACCATTTCCCTGCTGCTCAACTCCTAGCACATGCCTAGTGGTGTGCTCATGCCCAGTGTTCCATAAGCAAGAAATACAGACTTTCAGAGCTAATGAATTAAGTGACCCAGGATCATAAACACACTATTACTCAGGATTCAGTCTGGAAGACATAAATCAGACTAGATATTTAAAATACAATAAATTTGCTACAGGGAGTCAGTTACATGGGTGTTTGTAGGCTTAGAGCACAAAAAAGGAACACTGAGAAAATACCAAAATAGTAACTCAGGAAGCAGCTACCACTCCTGGGACCACAGAACAGAAAGGGAGAAGTGGCAGGTGGCAGAATCTAGCAGTGTAGAGAAAGGGCCTCATAGAGCTGAGACGCAGACCTGAGGAGGGGGTGCTGCCCTGCTGATAGCGGTGCCCTGGAAGGCCAGAGAGGGACCTTGAGGAACTGGTGCTCAGAACTCAACTGGCACAACTCAGGCGGCCTGGTGAGGCTCACTCTGGAGGTGCTGAAAGAAGGTGAAGGCTGGAGCCAAAGCCACTGTTGGAGGGAAGCTGACAGAAAGAGCAAAACCAGGAGGGAGGTACCTTCTCTCCTTCTCTCTCCTTCCAACATTCCTTTGGGACTTCCAGTTTGCAGGAACTTACAGGAAGCCAGCTGACAAAAGAGTTTAGGACATAAAAATTTTGGAACAAAGTATGGAGGACTGATTTTGGAGAAAGGACAGGTCAATAACCAGCTCAACATTTCTAATACAACTAACATTTTGAGGAAGACAATAAGGCTCCGAGAGCTTCAGTGATTTGTTCTGCACCTCCTCTTTAAATCGTTGAGTCCATGGTCTTAATCTACCCCTTAGGAATGGTGCTATTATTCTTATTTTATGAGGAGATAGTACCCAAACTTGATAAATTGTGAGAATATGTGTCTACTTCTCCTTTCTCTTTTGGCCATTTTATGCTGATTAATGGCATGTAGTATATGCCATGTAGGACCACATATGTTGTTTTGAACAATTAGAAAAAAGTTTACTGCTTTGCCACGTTTATTGGTTCTAAGTCAGGATATTTTTATAAGGTTCAGGGAGGGCATGTGAATCAGCCTCCACAATAGCATACAAATTTCCAGTTACCACCAAGCTGTTGGAGGCAAGGGCACCTCAACATCACTCTGAAAAACATAACAAACTCTAGCAGAAACCATCACAGAACACTTCTACTCCAAAGTGGTAGCAGGTTTTCTTTTCTTTTTCTGTAAGAAAGTTGGTAAATGAAGGCAAAACAAGAATATCTCCTAACCATATTATTTGTATCTAAAAGAATCTTCTCCAAGTCTCCCCTTTCCTGTACCATCTGTCAAACCCCAAAGAGCATGGACTTTCATGGACATCAATCCCAGAGGACTGGCAATTGACTGGCTTTGCCATGCATGGATGGACATTCTGAAACTTAATAGACCAGGATAAAGGAGGAAGGGGCAAAAAAGCACCCTGAGCTTTGAAGTTGGATCCATCAAGATGAGGTGGGCTGCAGTGACTCCAAAGACTGAGCATGGACATTTGATTAGTGGCCTTAGGACCTCTTGCAGGGAGGCTTATGTGCAGTGCAGAGAGGCCAAAACACAACCACCAAACCAGGTTGAGGTGATCAAGAATCTTGGGTGAACTACACTGGCATTCTCGGCAAGCATAACTATGTCAGGAAAAGACTGAGACTCCAAACGCACAGCAAACCCAAGTATAAAAACATACAATTTCCCCAGGAGTCACAACTGAGGCCTGTGGTCAAAAAGGAGGCTAGAACTGGACAGGAAATGCAAAGATACACAACCTTCTTAAAATGCACAATATGAGAGTACCCAAGCATACTTGTAGAAAGTACCACTAAAGAAATTTGAGCATTAAAAGAAAACACCAAATATCGACTCCTTCAATATTTGGTTCCATCATCAACAACAAAAATTCTATTTACTGAGATAGAAAGTTACATGAATCTTATCCTTCCTTCCCCTCTCTGTTCCCTCTTTTCTTCTTTCTCAAATCACATTGAAAGCACAAAAATGGTACTTTCCCCCCTTCTCATTCATTTTATTATCTGACTGTGAGGGAATAAAAAGACACATAGGTCAGAAATTTTCTTTTAACTACAGGAACACATCCCTGCTTAGATTTCATCTCAGCTACCCTCATTCCCAAAAGATTTGAGTTAATCATAAATGGATCCAGGCTGGTAGGCTGTACTTTGAGGTCCATCTTTATTTTCCAAAGGTGAGGGGGTGGGGAGTATTCCATTGTGCCTTTTTGGGTATCTGATCTGATGAGATTAAAGATAAAAAATTCCTGTGATCATAGAGGGATATTTTGGGTTCTATTGAAGTGGGTTTCCCTGCTTCCCATCCACGTAAGTTAAATAGAAGATAGTTTGGGAATAAATTGCAAGTTAGTAATGTAGTGAATCATAATTCATCAAAAAGCTGGAAAGGGTAAGAGAAGTAAAAAAAGAATTCTCCGCGAAAATTATCTTGTGTCTGAGATAGTTGGCTTAAAACCCTTTCTGTCTGCAGACCTGAATGAACTTGTTATATAGCCCCTGAATCTGGAAAATCATGTGAGCTGCTGCCTTTAGTAACAAGTGTCTTTATATTAAACCAACTTGTATTAGGGTCCATTGGGCATTGATACCACTTACTAGCCAGGTTACCTTGAGCCAATTAGTTAAATGCCCTGTGCCTCAATATCCCTATCTGTAAAATGAGCATAAGCACCACTCATAAGCTTGTTGTTAGGATTAAATGAGTAAATATTTGTAAAGAACTTAGAACAGTACCTGGTACCTGGTAAATACTGTGTAGGTCTTTATTAAATATTTAAAAGTGGCAGAGAAGTAGCTTGTGCCATTGATTGGTGGGGAAAAGAAGACTAAGTGTGCCCCAATTTTGCACACTCACAACCTATATAATCTTATTAACCAATGTCACCCCAATACACTTAATTAAAATGTTTTTAAAAAGTGCCCCGATTTTTGTTAACCGCCCCTATGTGACCAGCTATCACATTGTTTGTGCGCATGACTTTTCAGCAATCTTAATAACATTTTGTCAATATCGTATCTTAAGATCTATGAAAAGGCCCACTTTGGGAGAATATGCAGGGAAAGAAGCAACAATTCCCCTTGCCATAGCAACCCTTATTCAGACAGTGACCATTTGAGGGTTAGAAAATAGCATGAAAAATAGACCTTCCCTCTTCAAGTCTGCAATCTGTCCTGAAGAACTTAAAACTAAATTCTTTTCAGACAGGACGATGTCTTACAGGTATTTTTACTTTGCTACTCCCCTGTCCTAGCCGGTAATAGTAACTGAAGTTTGCAAGACACTTCAAAGCACTTTCACCTACTCTGCTCCACTTGATCTCCGAGACAAGCCTTTGAGGGCACCCTTGTTCTCATAAGAGAGACAGGTAACTGAGCGCTAAGGAGACTTGCTCAGAACCATTTAGGTAAAATGTGATAAAACTAGAACTCAAATTCAGGTCTTCCAATGAAAACATTTTCTTGAAAAATCTTGTTTGGGCAGGTCAAATTGGGTTGAATCAGACCAGGTTGAACTGGCTTGCACTGGATTACAAGGACATGTGGTCAGAAATCATAGGGGACCCTTTTAAAGGACCACGCTCACAGAAGCATCAATCACATCTTCATCCAGCTTCTCCTCTTCCTCGCAGCCTTCCCTTTCCTCTGCTCTTACCGTGTATCTCTCCTCGGTTTTGTGAGCCAAGCTGAGGGTAGGAATGATCAGCTTCAGGGCAGCGGGGTAGTTTGGGGAATATGAAAAAGTAGGTGTGAATAAATTCCTTTAGACCTTTTTGCATTTCCCACCCAAAGCCATTAATTCCAAATCAGAAGAATGAGTTCAGCCACAGTCAGTAGTAAATGGCACTTATCCTGCTTGTTCGCATTCCTGGGTGTCCTCCGACCCATAAGCCCTCCATCAGTGCCTGTGTCCCCGTGTGGTGCCTCACACAGCATTAAGCTACTTTATTAAAAACAAGTAAGATCTCAAGAGTGGGGAAATCTGACATGGAAGTGTCACATAAGAAAGCCAAGATGAAATGCTACAACAAGGTGACAAAATCTGAAGCTCCAGTTCTTTGCCATCCCTCCACCCCCCACTCATCTCCCACCTTGAGAATTAGCCACCGAAGGGCAGCTGAAGAAATGACATAGTCAACACCTCCTGTGGGCCTGGACCCTGTAGGCTTATCTATCTGAAAAACTGTTTTCAGTTTCAGGGAAGGTATTAGAGACTTAAGAAAGGGTTCGGGTGGAGGGTGGAACCCTTTCTCTTTAGCCCTGGGTCTGAGCAGTGACCATTCCCTATAGTTACACAAACTACCCAGGACCCCCACTTAAAACGTGCAGCTGGTGATGCTGTGTAAACTGGATGAAAGTGATGTGAGCCGACATGGTCAGATAAAAGTCTTCATTTTGACAACTGGCGGATACTCAGGTGCTCAGAGTTTGCCTGTTGTATGAAACCATTCTTGGCTGTAATGTCTCTCCACAAAGCTGCTCTAATGACCTTTCATCAATATATTTGTGATTTTTGACATTTAGTGCCATTTGTCTGGCATTGGAGGTGGGACTGAACTTACGTTTCACTTTCAGAACCTGACTTTGGTGTTGTTAAATTATTTGGATATATCAGTAAGATTATATATCAGTAAGGAATATATCAGTAAGATTCCCCAAGTGAGTAAAATAAAGGAATTGGTTTACCTGGAATCTCTCAGGGCCTTCCCAACTCTAACATTCAGTGTCTTTACAATTCTAAGTTGAGGTACTATTGCTCTGGGACCCTAGGTAGAGGGCAGACAGCAGTGGAAATGTAAGGACCAACGTTAAAATCCTAAATTAAACTACATCATTGAATGTGCAGGGAGCTGTTAGGGAATTTCACATGCCAGCGCTAATGTATTTTACATCCTTGGAAACAGTATTTAGTTAGGTATAAAAGATGTTCACTACAACAATCTTTGTATTAGCAAACACAAAACTAAAACAAATAGACAAACCTAAAATCATTTAAATGCCCCAAGCAGGCATTTAGATTTCCACTCAGTTGGCATACTATATACAACTGTTAAAATTGATGGTAATGAAAACTATGTATTGCCATGTTATGAAAACATGGGAATTGCTTAAACAATGCTGGAGAAAAACAAGATATACAATTGTATGTATAATGATTGTAATTATGGAAAATCTTAAAAGGAGAAATGGATTCTTTTAAAACACAGAAAAATATAGAAAAAATTCTATAGTATAGTTATATATTTACAGTAAAGACTGAATTTCTAAATGAAATAAAACAGAATAAAACCTATTTTAAATTTAGAAATCAATATACATCTCTCCATAAGTCCCACCATATCTCACTGCAGTAAAATTCAAGTAATTATTTTATATGATTTATTCAGCATCTGTCATTTTAAGAATTGGATAATGTTTGGCTACACAGCAAAGGATAATGAGCAACATAATTAATCAAATTGCTGTTGATATTTCTATGTCAAAGTTAATCATTTCATTTTCTTCTTTTATGGGAGGGGTTCTCCTCTTCTTAAAACCAGTAGCATCCACAAGTAAATTTAAATGTATTTCACGTGTTTAGTTGTACAAAACTTGGTATCACAGCTGAAAACTACAGTCAATGCCTCATTTGCTGGCACCGGGACAAAGGCAGGCAGCTTCTACCTGAGCTAAATTAACACACTGTTCTCAGAACGGCTCTTCATTCAGTCAGTTGCTCTTCTGTGCTGAGGACAAGGATCCCGTATTTACATGATTTGTACTAATCTGACAGTCATCAGATTTCATCCCTGCCTGTTCTCCCACCCTCCCACCAACACACACTTGTTGGCATCTCCCAGGCAGTCACAGGAAGAGTTCATTCAGTCCGACGACCCCATTGAACATGGACATTTTGGATAGTCAGTCATTTGTCAGTTTTTCTGATTTGAAATCATGGCCAGAATCTTGACAAAGACCATTATTTCAGCTTTTGTTTTGGGGTTTTTGTTTGTTAGTTTATTTGTTTTTGTTTTGTTTTGTAGCAGACATTAAATATCATGGCACTCAGGGTAATGGGGAACTTTTCCCTACTCATTTTATTGTTATGAACAGACCCTCAGTCTTTCAAACATATGTAAATAAATAAAAGATGTGTTGGTATTTCCAAGTGAGCCAGACATTTGCAGCTGTTTCACTCGCTGCAGCAGGTCTAGAGGGGAGTTCTCCTGTTGTGTGAAACCATGGATGGCTGTAATGTCTCTCCAAGGAGCTGCTCTAATTAATGCAAAGCACTCTGCTTACTACTTAATAAATACTTAGCTTCCTCTAAGTGGCACCACATTAAGATCCTTTATTGAACATTTTCTCTATGTGCTACTATGTGCTGGAATCATCAGACCAATACGTTGGATTTCAGGAAGGAGGGGGAGAGAAATCTACAGCAAAAGCAGACTTTGGGGATAATTATTTCTGCAAACCAACACCTCTTTCTGTACTTTATATCTGAGTAAACCCAGTCAACAGGGAACACTCTGGGGAAGAAATTGAGTAATTAAAAATATACAGGCTGCAAAACCTGCATCAGAATCACAATGTCTCCAGACAACAGATACTTAAAGAATGGTTTTTATCTGTGAACTCACTCTGTTTTAATGAACACTCCTTCAAAATCTTGCAACCAATTTGACAATGGTTATTTGCCAACATAGGCCAAAGGAGGCTGCCTCCAAAGAAGAACCCTTTGTCCGTATGTTCTTGAAAATGTTCTGGAAGGAAAATCTTCCAAAGAAGTTTTTATTTAGCCAACTATAATTTTCCTTGGATAATTTCTGATTAGCCCATTATCAGTTTGGGTGGGTTTGATAGCTGTGGGCATTAAAACAACCAACTCTTTCTTTAATAACCTTTTTTTGTTTCCATAGGTCTGAGTCACTAGCCCAGACACCATCCCCTGAATTAAATGAAGAATAGTGTCAAATAGGAACTTATAAACCTTAAGGCTAAACTGAAAAGTGTTCAAAGTTTTGATGTACCTGGAGAAAGTACTAGGCAAAATGTTACAATAGACTAGAAAACCCATTGCGTATTTTCACCTTCTGATCAGATGTCACTTAGACTTCAAGTTTGAGAAAAACTGGTTCATTCCTCTACAATCACACCGCAAAAGCCGAGAAGTCTACCTTTTTATTTCTCCCTGCTCTGTCCCTAGAAGTGGCTCTAGTGTTCACTGTAAATTTTCTAAGATGTTGACACATAAAAGTCTATGAAGTTCACCAGCACAAAAATGTCAACCATCGAAGACAAGGCTCACAAAATTATCTTAATCACCACTGACACCTGTGGCTTGTCCGTCCCCCACCTCCCCCCCACCAAGAATGGGAAATCGCTTGGAAAATCTAACCACAGTATCTCCTCTCTAGATTTTTGCATAAAAAGTTCACCATCACAGTGAGCTCAGAAAGTGGTGGTGGTGGTGGTGGTGGTGGTCGTGTGTGTGTGTGTGTGTAGAGAGAGAGAGAGAGAGGGAGAGAATATCAAGCAGGTGAGGTTGAAAGCTCAGCTTTCAAGTCTGTTGTGACACCAATGACCAGATATTAGTTGAAAGAAGAAAACCGGATGACCCAGATGCAATTTCGATCTTTGAAGACAAGCTGTTTATATAATCCATGCCAAGCAAGGAGGTGAGAGACTTGGAGATGTGTGTGACATAATGATGTTTATATTGATGTAGATAAAGATTTGTTTAAACCGAAGTTATTAACTCAGCCCTGAGTGTTAGTCCATCACCCAGAGCTCCTTGGGAATCCGGAGGCCCACACTGCCACCCCCGCTCACTGTCTTCCCCTCCCCCACTTTTCAGAAGCCAGAGGATGCCCGCTGCATCTTGCACTGTAGTGCAAACGGATCCCCGCAAAGGGAGAGGAAGATAAAATGAATTTAAATTCCAAAGGGGTTCCAGTGCCGGTTTCCTAGTCCCCGAGTCAGCAATGTGTTTGTGAAAATTCAGCCTTTTTGTCTCCCAGTAAAAAGGAGCTAAATCTACATCGGTGGCCCAGTCTCGGGTTGCTATTCTTTGCATTTTCTATTCGAGTGAATGAGAGTGAATGAAGTGGCCGGGACCCTCCATTTGATCTACTCAATTGCATAAAGTGACAGAATTCTAATATATTTGTTTAATGCTCTTCAATGGGCTTTCACTTTTTTTGCTTGCAAATGAAGCATCTGTGGGCCAAGTTTCGTCCCCCTTTAACACGGGGACATATTTCATAACTCAGGCCGTGGTTTGAAGTGATCTTGAGAGGAGTTTTAGACTCAAAAAGTGGAAAATAAAGAAACAGATGTGAAGTTATTGTAGATTCCTAGAGTGGGCTCTGGGGCTATTGTGCCCCCACGGCGGGCGGTCCCGGGGCTGTGCCTTTCATGCTGTAATTGAAACATATTAATTAGATAATTTGTTGTTAGTTTAAAAGAAACAAATGCATCCCCTTTGAGGCTTCACAGCCGGTGGGGTGGGTTGTTTTTGTTTTGCTTTTTGTTTTGTTTGGGTGTCTCTGTGCATATGTGGCATTTAGGAAGAAAAAAAATGACATTTATGTTAAGAATTTGAGAACAGACCCAGATCCTTTCCGTTTCTTAAATGGATACCTTGTAACGGGGAGTTGCCATTTGTGAAAGTAAAAACCTTCCCTCCCCTGCCCACCTTGCATGAGCTAATGGAAAACCTTCTGTTTGAAGCACTTCATTAGATTCCTGGTCCTCGCCCCCCCCCCGCCCCCACCCGCAGTTTCACCCCTCTCCAGCACCTGGCCACATTTATGCTTCCAAACACTCAATGTTCCTGTCTCTTTCAAAGGCATTGAACTCGCTGCTGTAATATTTAAGCCATTCTGAGGATCATTCACTAGCACCTTCTGCTAGTCTTACACCTTTCCAAACCCCAACCCAGGCAACAGGACTAATGAGAACTTCTGTAGCTTCTTGCTTGAGAAAGGGCACAAAATTCATCCACTGTGTAGGCATTTCCCCAAACCACAGAGAAAGCCGTTAAAAAAACTCAATTGAGTGCAGAGTCATGTTAAAAAGCAAAAGTAACAGAATAGCCAAGTTTCCAAAATCAAACACCTACATTAAAATAAAATAAAAAAAACTATCCTGCCCAAATTTACAAAATAGAAAATAGTATAACTTAACTTGATTCTCAAGATAAGACCGGAGCATACATCTCACTGTATGGGGGTGCCTCTCCCAGTGTTATTTTGAAGCTGTGTGTATTGACTTTGGACTTGAGCCAGGTGAAAAGATTTAACATGACAAAGAGAGCCATTGAAGGTATCATGGTTATAAACTTCCTTATTTGTGGGGCACTTCAGCTAAACAGGGTGTAAGTCTCAAAGCTGAGGATAGAGTTGGGGTAGAGGCATGTGTTTTGGGGCTGCCTTTGGATTTCTCATCAAGGTCAACATATCATCAATGGATTTTTTTACTTTACTTTACTTTACTTTACTCATTCAAGCAACTCTCTGAGAGGAGATGCTTGTGATTGTGAAAAGAGAGCTCACAATGCCCAAGTTATTTCATTCTTTGCAATACACCATGACGAACTTACCAGCTGAAAAGGACATTTTCAAGTACTGAGTTGAAATCACTCCTTTGCTAAAACTCAGAAATGAGATCTGCATCTTCTTTATTTCTGTTTATTAAATGTATATATGTACATACAACTTAACTCTGAACCCTATTGGCTAGTCTAGGAAGAATATTTTATCTAACTAGCTAAGTTGATAATTTGTAAAATGTTTGAGGCCCATGTCTATATGGTTCCTTCATTCCCATTTTGAATTCAGTGTTAGTAAAATCGATGAAATTATAATATCCCAGAGGTGGCCTTAATTTTATTTTGTAGGAAATGATGAAACTGTATTTAATTTTTTTAAAAAAAAATGCAGATGACTTATTGTTGAGAACAAAGTTTCAAGAATTTCCTAGCCCAGGATGGACAAGTTTTCCAGGCTTTCTTTAGCTGATCTTGTTGATATAATTGTGACTTGGGCTTGATGAATGAGTTTGGTTGTCCCCTGTCTGACGAGCTTTAGTAGCTTCATGCATTTTAATCAGTCCAATGATTCATTTATTTTCTTTTTTTTTTCTTGGCTGTGTGTGGGATCCTTCCTTTAAAAAAATGGTCACAACAGGATTAATTACCCTTTGCATTAATCCTAAATTTTTTTTCAGATAGCCCTCTAAATACCTAAGGGTTGCAGGTGCCAAGGATTTTCCTTATAGAGCATGATTTCTATGTGGGTTTCCCTGTGTTGCACAGTCTCTTGTTTAATCATTTTACATAGTAAAGTGTTAATCACCATTTAAGTTTGTCTTTGTCTTGCAACTTCACTAGTTGAATACACCCCTCACTCTGGAAATATTGTGAGCCCTTCAATAAAGTTTCAATGGTCCTTGAGCCATAAATACTTGGCACATTTTAATTCTCTGCAAATATCTGAGGAAAAGCAAATACTTAGAGTGGAGCATTTTGAGTAACTTCATTTACCTCTTTAAAATAAATGCACCAAACATTATTTTCTCATAGGAAGGAGTAAAAAGCTGTTCAATTCAAAGCGAACAGCTTTCAACATGCAAGGTGGACTTTCAGGTAACTTCTGAAAAAGAAAATTTCAACAACTGCCATAATTTAAAGGAGCAAGGCAATGGCTACTCACTCCAAAATAAGATGTGTCAGGATATAAGCATTGTGTAGGCAAGTCTGGTTTTGTATCTCCATCTGCCTGATTTCTACATCAGCCTTGCAGTTATATAAGTGCTGGTTATGTTGTGTAAAATGTATATTTTAAGAGGCAAAAATATATATAAAGTACTGTTTTTTCAATGCAGTCTTTCTCTCAGCACTACACCTGTGCACCTAATCTACGCTGGAAATAGACTGCTCCCTCTCTCCCTCTGCAGCCATATCTTCAAGAGTCCATCCGAATAATTGTTCTCCCAATCTGCGATGCCTGAGAACTTGGCCTGTTTTAAAAATAAGATCTTGACAAGACAAACTACTCAGACAACGCACTGCAGAAAGCATGCTTGGGGAAGCACTACCTCTATCTTTTGTAAAGTGACTGCAGAAACTTCAGAACCACACAAAACTAAAATTTGAGTTTACGTATTTTAATGAGAAAATATTATTTGGACTAGGTTCATAATTTAATGTAGACACCTTCTTTTAAAATTCTCTGTCTTAAAACAGGCATGCTGGGAACAAGAACATCAATATTTAAAATGTCATGCTAATTCTCTACAAGGAGGGAGAAAAATGAAAGATAAAATTGTACAGCTCTGATGATACTACAACTCTTTTTTTTTTTTTAAACTTAAGCAGATCACACCAGAACAACAGTTCATTTTCTCAGCAAATTACCTAAGACTCTAAAGGAATATAAGCAAACAAAAGTGCATTTTACACAGTGTATAATCATTCCTATTCACAAGCATTTACACCTCCTTGCAGCCCTTAGCTTCTTGGAAAACTTGTAGCAAACAGAAGGACTTGTCCCTGGGAGATCTATCCGGTGGCATTTCCTCCAAGTTACCAGTCAGCTTATCTCAGTTCTTCTAGGGTTGCCCTTGATGCTTTCTTAGTTTGGGCTTACTTCATTTTCTTTTTTTTCCCCCTTCCCAACAATAAAATAAATAGCTATAAAGGTATCTAAGTAACCGGAAAGTTAACATCCCAATTAACTTTCCCCTCCCCCTCTCCCCTCCCCTAAACCTAGCCAGAAATAAAGGGTAAACATTCACATTACAACAGGTACTTGTAAAATGGGCTTTGCCCCCTCGCCCGCCAAGCAATACAGATTCAAGTTCACTGTTTACATTTTACGGGCGCTTTGTAAACAATACAAGGTTACATTTAGTTTTGTTTTGCTTGTGTTCAAGACAAGCCTCCCCTCCCCAGCTCGGCAGCCTCTCCCCCTAACTCCCAACGCCCAGAGCCTCCGGCTGGACACAAAAACCAAAGCAAAAAATTCTGCGGAAGCCGAGGAGGCAGGCCCGCTACCCCGGGAAGCTGCGGTCCGCCCAGCCCCTGCCGGATGGGCGGAGGCGAGCGGGCTAGGAAGATTAGCGGTCTCTCTTCGTAGCAGATTTCCAAGACTTGAACAGAGAGATCCGGCCCTCGGATGGGAGGCGGCGGCCCTCAGGGGAGATGTGTTCGAGGACACCTCCGAGCCGGTTTCTCTGGTCTTGGAACAAACGGTGCGGAGGCTCGAGCCCCGCCAGTGCGGGCCGGAGGGAAGACGCTCTCCTCTCGGTGAAGGCGGGAGGCAGGATTTCCCCTGCCTCTTACACGGGAGGATTTCCAGGGCCCCCGGGATGGGACGGCGAGGCTCAGGTGCCCCTGCCTTCTCCTCTTGTGAGGACGAGAACAACTCCCACGCGCCTCCAGGCCCCTCCGCAAGTTTGTGTTTTGTCTCCGGGTCCAAAACAAAGTTCTCGCGGGGGAGAGACGGTTGGCTGAAAGTGAATTGACACGGTAGGGCGGCGGTCCCGGGTCCGGGAGGGCAGGACGAGGAGCCGGGGACGGCGAGTGCGCTAGCGGGGCGGAGAGCCCGAGGGGTCAGTGCACCGCCACCGAGTGCAAGGCCGAG